TATGACACCCTTACTACCCCAACACATATATAATATAATTTAAAATCGTTGCACAAACCGTCGCAAAATTTGAATTGCGACCCTTTCATCAACTGTCGCACGAAATGCCTCGAAATTAATATTACGACCCTTGATGTACTTGTCGCACGAACTGCCTCTACATTAATATTACGACCCTTTTTCTACCTGTCGCACGAAATGCCTCTAAATTAATATTACGACCCTTGATATACTCGTCGCACGAACTGCCTCTACATTAACATTGCGCAATGTAGGCCACATAACCGTCGCAAAATCGTCATTTTCTTGTAGTGTTCGGATGCTTGTGTTACACAAGCACTATCACTTCCCATCGCCGAAAGCTTGACCCTCGTGCTTATCCTTCAATTTTTATTGGGTTCAAACCTTTCACGAAAGGCTATCTTTTATATAATCTCCATACTCGTAACCTAGAGGTATCCCGTAATGTTGTATTTCATGAAAACTATTTTCCTTCCATTCATGATTCTACCACCCCATCCTCTTCTTGCACTCTTAACCCAAACTTTTTTAACTCACCATCTCTTATTGATGAACCTCCTATTACAAATACCCAACCAGCACCTTCTGATCTTAGTCCCATTCCTCTTCGACGTTCATCTCGTGTTCGTCGCCCTCCTACATATCTCAAAGATTTTCATACCCCATCAACATTAACTGGTACCACTTCAGCTTCTACAGTTCGCTACCCTCTTGAACACAACATTTCTTATGCTCGTCTTTCACCAACTTTTCGTCACTTTGTTCTGTCTCTCTCATCTGTCTCTAAGCCAAAATCATACGTTGAAGCTTCTAAACATGATTGTTGGATTAACACCATGCATGATGAGATCACTGCACTTGAAGCTAACAAAACTTGGGTTCTAGCTGATCTTCCTCCCCACAAAACAGCCACTGGGTGCCGCTGGATTTTCAAAGTTAAACATAATATGGATGGATCCATTGAAAGATATAAAGCTCGTCTCGTTGCAAAAGGGTATACCCAAATGGAAGGGCTTGACTTCATTGATACTTTCTCACCTGTTGCAAAGCTTACAACAGCTCGCCTCATTCTTGCCCTTGCTACCATCAATAATTGGTTTCTCAAACAATTGGATGTTAATAACGCTTTCCTTCATGGCAACCTTCATGAAGAAGTATATATGCAATTGCCTCCAAGTGTTGTTGCAACCAAGCCTGGACAGGTTTGTAAATTACAGCATTCTCTATATGGTCTCAAGCAGGCGAGTCGACAGTGGTATGCTTGAATTTCTTCATTTCTTCTGACACATGGATTTAAACCTTCAACATCAGATCACTCTCTTTTTCTTAAGTGTTCAGCTTCATCTATGACTGTTGTTCTCATTTATGTTGATGATATCGTTCTTGCGGGCAACAATCTTGCTGAAATTACTTCCATTACTCTCCTTCTTGATTCTACATTTAAGATAAAGAATCTTGGAGATTTAAAATATTTCTTGGGTTTAGAGGTGGCCCGAACTTCTTCTGGCATTCATCTTTGTCAAGGTAAATATACTCTTGATTTGCTTTTTGATAATGGGATGCTTACTTCACACCCTTCTTCTACACCTATGGATTATTCTACTCGTTTGCATGTTATTTCTGATAGCCCTCTCTCGGATCCTTCCGTTTATCGCCGCCTCGTTGGTCGTCTCATTTATCTCACAACCACGCGCCCAGACATCACATATGTAGTGCAACATTTAAGTCAATTTGTTTCTAATCCTTCTCAAGCTCATATGCAAGCTGTTTTTCGTGTTCTTCGATACCTCAAACGTGATCCAGGACTTGGTATTTTTCTTGATGCTACCAACTGCATACATCTTAAGGCGTTCAACAACTCTGATTGGGCTGGTTGCCCTGATACCTGTCGCTCGGTCACTGGTTTCTGTGTGTTTCTTGGCAACTCTATCATCTCTTGGCGTTCTAAGAAGCAAGCTACTATCTCTAGAAGCTCCTCGAAAGCTGAGTATCGTGCCTTGGCGTCCACCACTTGTGAGCTCCAGTGGCTCACGTATCTATTATTAGATATTAGAGTCTCATTCAACCAACCTGCCTTGTTATTTTGTGACAGTCAATCCGCTCTCCAGATTGCTTCAAACCAAGTTTTCCATGAACGCACAAAACACATTCACATTGACTGTCATCTTGTGCGTGAAAAGGCTACTGCTGGTGTTATTAAGCTTCTTCCAGTTTCTTCCTCATCTCAGATTGCAGACGTGTTTACCAAGGCCTTGTCTCCAGCTCTTTTTGAAGAAAATTGTTCCAAGCTGGGAATGTACAACATCCATTCTCAGCTTGAGGGGGGCTCTTAATTCTCCTTTTTTTGTTTACGTTTTCCTCACATTATTTGTCTTTTATATAACAACTTTCTGTTATCAGCTTTTCTTCTCTCTCCATGTGTATATATATAGTCCCTTTTCATAATGAATGAGAATGCAAGTTTGTTGGCCACAACTCTGTAGAGCACGTTACACTTTCTGCCTTTTTGCTTTTGTGATGACATCTTTTATTAATATTTGATGATTTTTTTAATCTCGTTAAATTAGTTATTTTAATCTTATAATAAGAATATGAAAGAGTATATAAAAAGTATTAATTACTTCACGTGATACATGTGATGAATGAAGATATTAACAAAATGTATTGATATTATTTTTTTAAAAGCACTATCCAACATATAGTTGTTTTTGATCAATCTAAATTTGTTATTGTTGGATGGCATTCTATGAGGTTATTAATCCTTAGTTGACTAGTTAGAGGTTTAAGATGTTACACTTTTCAGTCTAGCCGACTCAATAATGAAGTATATATTTACATATGTATGTCGTTGAAGCTACTTAATTCTTTTTTAGCAATTTAAACACCATTTGATAAAACCACCTTTAATTAACACCAATTGAAAAAGTAAATAATTAAGAATACAAATTATCAATAAACATATTAGCTAGTTAAAATAAGAAATTGAACCATATATACCAACTCATCCCTTTTCCTTGCAAGAGTTTTAGAGCCTAGTATGTGGGGGATCATTAGCTTTGCACGATTTGCAGCATTTTTATTAGACATATCCTATAAGACAATAATAAGCAGGGTTAATATGATTATTATCCAACGTAAAGAACCATGTTCAAATGAAATTGTTATTACCATTGCTTTATTGCTTTGTCTATAACGCACAAAAATAGCCCAATGATCTTGGGGAATGTGCGGTGGGTGATTCTGTATATTTTGCTCCACAGATTTTTCCCAATCATGAAATTTATCAAACAATCTACACCGTTTGTCCTTCCATTTCTTTCCCAAGCTCCAAAAGATGTATTCTTTGTGTTTTTGATCGTTAACAACAAAATTAGCCTTCAAAATCAAAATAAACAATCACGTTAGACACAAAATACATAAAATAAATGAAACATCATTTTCATTTAACTTTAACTAATACCTGTATCGTGTTAACAAAAACATTATTTTTATACTCTTCAGGAACCTGTGTCCATTTCTCATACAGTATAGGAAAGTTGCCAAAGTTGGATGCCACTTGGCCTAAAAATCCTGCTAACAAACTAGAAGAATCACCCACTGGTTGATTATGTCTATTCCATTGTGTCAGTATCTTTGTTGGACTATCAGTCATTGCAAACACATCTTGCACCCTTAGACGTGTTTGTGATATATGACCTTCCCCATCTAATACAACAAATTTTATTGTTAACATAACATATAACAATTAAAAAAGATATATAAAAACTAATTAAAATTAATTACGCACCAATAACATCAACCGTCCAATATGGAGATGTTCTTCTATGAACCACCAGTGAATTATGAGGTACATTCTCAGTCTCATTAGCCTCTGCTTGTACCTCTTCTTGAGATGATTCCACATTAGCTATAGGCTCACTTTGTTGACGAACACGTGCATTTTGATGAGATGCAGTAGGTGTATTTTGTGGATTTGGCACGGATCTACTCCTAGAAGCAACTTGTCTTGAAGGAAGCATATCTGTAAATATAAACCATAATTAATATCAACTGCTAAAAGAATTTAAAAGAATTTCCTATAATTAATAAACACAAATCCATACACTTAAAATAATTTATAAAAGAAAACATACATTTAAAAATTTGATTCTTTTCATAAGAGAAAAGTTTGACAATCATAAAACCATTTCTTCATTATCATCATTACAATCTACATTGGAACTTAAGCCTTGAAGTTCATCATCATCTGTTGTCATTCTTGTCAATTGTATATGACTAGCATCATTAGGGAAAATTTGATCCAAATTTTGTGACGGGTACGACTCAATGGATGGCATAGCTTCATCATTTTCTCCCATGTCATACAAGTCTATTGGCTTCAAATGAATTGGTATATTCCAACCTTGTTCATTCTCATCATCCACGTAATAAACCATTTGAGCTTCTGAAGCATTAATGTATGGTTCATCATCTTCATGGTCTCCGGTATGTATTAGTATGGCAAAATTAATAGAGACAAAACCCAACTTGTCTATCTTCATTCCTCTTGGGTTTGTGGTATTAGCCCATTCACATTTAAACATAGGTATTGTAAACCCATTATAGTGAAGTTCAATGATGTCTATCAATCTTCCATAATAAGGCACTCCCCCAAACCTCATTTGAGCATCATTATTGCTTGAGTAACTCCTTGTTCCAAACATACCAAAAACTCCACTATTTTGAGTTTGTAAAAACTTGTCTCATGCCACGGTTCGAAATTTGAATCCATTAACATTAAATGCACTAAACCTTCTAACTTTGTCAAAAGGACCTTGTGCAAGACTAAGTAGAACATCTTTTTCCTCTCCACTAAGTGTATCAAGATTGTTGCGAATCTATATTCCAAAAAATAAAATTTAATTGTCATTATTCCCAAAATTTAAATGACATATAGATAAAGAGTAAGTTAATTATGAAGACTAACACGATTGGAAAACCAAGGAATAAACTCTCTGTGAACCTTCTTATCAACCTGAACAGTACTCCTTGCACCACCCCTTAGTTGTCTTCATACAATGCTTCTATATTGCCTATTTATTCATGCCATATTAGATGCATGGTCATCAAAACACACTAACAAATTAAAACAAGTAATAAGATTTCCTTACTGAAGATATGAATCAACTAGAGGGCAATTTGTTAACACATGTCTATGAGCTTGTAGTTTTTCCATTGGTGTAAGTGTGTAATATGAAGAGGCACCAATTGGTTTTCCAACACGAGGAAATAATTTGGCTACTCGTGATTTAGGTTGTGTATCCTTAAAAGCCTCATCATCTACACGACCAATTCGATTCCATTTAGTCTCAATGTCATCTAGATACCTTGAACAATATGTCAATATCTCTTCCATGAGGTATCCTTCTGCAATGGACCCTTCTGGTCGTGCTTTATTGCGTACAAAAGATTTCAAATGTCCTAAGTACCTATTTTTAAACAACAAAAACAAAAAATATTGTTTAGAGGAAACTTGTGCGTGTTGCTAAAATAAAAATAAGGAGAATTGTATAAATAATTCACCTTTCTATAGGATACATCCACCGATAATGAACAGGACCTCCAAGCTTAACTTCTTCAATAAGATGAACAACCAAATGAACCATAACAGTGAAGAATGAAGGTGGAAATATCATTTCCATGTGGCATAAAGTGAGGACAATTTGATTTTGCATTTTGTCTAAATCTTCAACTTTTAATACTTTGCCACATAATTGTCTAAAGAATGAGCATAACTCAATTAGTATTGCTGAAACCTCATCTGGCAATGATGACCGCATAGCTAACGGTAGTAATTGTTCCATTAATATATGACAATCATGGCTTTTCAACATTCCACTAAACCTTAAGGTTTCTAAGTCAATGCACCTAGAAATGTTGCTTGAGTAACCATCTGGTACACTAATATTCTTTAAAGTCGTTAAAAATGCCCTCTTAGTTTTTCTTTTAGATCTTTATACATGAGAATCCCATTTTTTTCCCACTTAGAATGTCTTCCTCGCCCTTTATATACAACTATCAAATTTGGCCTAACTTATGTCATTTTTGTTGTGTTATGTTATAGTTCATGCATTTGTTTTTTTCTTAGAGGTATCGGTTTGTAAATTTAGATAGGAAGTATTTATTGTCTTTTAGCTTTGCCTTTAGAGTTTTAATAGTAAGGAACATCTTGTAGCATGTGTGATAAGGAGTAACATGGTCACGTATGAACTCTGACTTACTCATATTGGAACTTCCTCTTAAGAGAGTATGGGTGTGTTGCTTACCCATTATGTGAGAATCTTATTTTCATGTATTTTTAGGCTCTCTTATATATGCATTCTAAAGTTAAGAACTAATGGTACCACATGCATATAGAATTAAAAGTATAAGAGCTCATGTGTCAAGTGTCTTGAGTTGTGTGTTAAAGTGTGTTCGTGATGCGTTTATTGTTGATAAAGATCAAGCTCAAATCTAAGAGTTTTGATTATTACAAATGTGTACCTAATGAGTCTCTTGTTAAGAGTGCAACTTGTATTAGTTATTTTTGCTTTGTACCTGTTTAAGCTTTGTTATTAGTGTTAAATCAATATGTTATTTTATAATCTTCGTATAAGTTGATGCTCAAGAATAACATGAATTATGTTTCAAATTGATTTGAAAAGAATTGAAGTGAAAAATGTGAAGTATTCAATTTTTACTTAAAATAATCTATTATCTTTCCTTATTTTTGAAATGCTTGGAAGTAATTTTTGGAAATGATCAATTATCTAGCAAAACAATCAATTATCTCATAGTTGGGTTTGAAAATGATCGATTATCCACAAAAATAATTGATTCCCATTCCATCTTTGGAACGGCCCGTTCTGGTAACCAAAAATACCCCTAAACTTTTAATAAATTTACGAAAATACCCATAATAATAATAATAAAAAAATTGGGGTGTTACACTTACAAACAACGTCATGATTGTATCCTTCGGGTTGGCAATTGGGTGTTTCTTCTTCTACAACCATACCGCTGGAGTCTCTAGTTTGTTGGTCTGCATAGAAGCTAGCATGATGTTATTATGAGCCTTTTCACGTGCTTCATTGAATCAAAAGTGTGGTGTATGAACTGGACTTACAAGCCACCGCAAGGCTCCATCCTATTTTTTACGTTTCAAAGCTTTGTCATTTTGATGGTCCAAACCCTCTCTGTCATTTTCACCCTCTGCCTTCGTTTGCGTTTGATTTCCCGAACTCACCCATTTTGAGTGATTCGCATTCGCATGCCTTTGACCTTTTCCATTCTCCTAATACTCAAGCTTTACTCACACGTGTTTCTTATGCACCATTGGATGAACTTCAAAGAAATACAAAACTTGTCTCATCATTGGATTCTAGTGTGATCCAACACTTACGAGTTTCAACCAATTTTATTGTGCCACATCATAACCTTGCAGGCAAGGTAATTGTTGTTTGGGGCAACAATGATTATAGATCTAGGCCCATTCGTAAGGCAAATCCAACCCCCAAGTTAGATGATAGGTTATGTTATGGGTTGAATGCATGGGAGGCTAATACTGTTTTAGTTGCTTTCTAATATTTTGTTTTACTTCAATAATGGTTGGCCCGTTCCTACTTTAAAACTACTATAATGTTGTCCTGCTCTTACTATAAAACCTTGTAATTTGTGTTTGAGGGTATGAATGATGGTATTCTAGTGTTTTCTTAAGTTCTCTTTAGGTAGCTTAGTTCAAATATAAGATACATATCAAAGTAACAACACTACAACAGAAACACACAACAATTGGATGGTCAAAATTTGAAGTTATGACACTTAAAAAAGTTATTTGACTTTTTAAAACTCTTACATTACTTGATTGTTTTAATATTAGTTATTCATATAAGATCTAGTGTATGTTTGGATATTGTTTATAGTCATATTCAAAAGAAAAACAAGTATTCTAATGAAAAAGAAAAGTTTGTGAGCGCAACTTTTTTCAATCCCAATTGACTTCAAATTAATTAATTTTCAAATATACCCCTAACAATCAACATTTATGCTTCTAACTTTTGTATAAAAAAGGTCGCCTAACTATTTATGTTTCCTATACATCTAGGGGCATATCTAGTGAGAGTAACTTTTATATTAGAATAAAACGAGTAAATTTGGACCATACAACTATACATTGTTGAGATTTAATGTTATTTGGGTGTTTTTGGAAGAATATAAATGAAAAAAAAATATTTCAAGAAAGATGTAAGGAGTCTTCTAAATTGTTGGAATCTACAAAAATTGTGTCATGGCAATGGCTTAAAGCAAAGTCCAACTTTAGCTATTCATTCTCTAGTTGGACACATGACCCATCGACATGCTTGGACTAATTGGAACTTACTACAACATGACTTTCAATCATCTACAGAAGCTATTATATGGGATGTACATTTTGATTGGTTCCCTTGGTGGATGTACACATGCTTTGTTTTTCTTAAGTGAGTGTAGAGCTTTAATAAGGATGTGATTTTTATTTGTAAATATGTTTATAATGATTGAGTAGCCATATCTTGTGGTTTTCTTTGTTTTATTTAACGAATTGACTTGTTTTTTTTAAAGAAAAAGTCAAGTGACTTTTGAAAAAATCACACAACTTGACTATTTTTTAGACATCTTCTACCCCACATATAAAAATATGTATTATAGTAGAATAATTTAATAAAACTAAGTTCATGCATAGATAACCAATACTAAATTAACATCAAGTTTGGAAGAAGATATCACATAACAATTAAACCTATCACTACTCCAATAAGAGCATCTAATGAAAAATAACTACAAAATAAGTCTAACATCATGTCCTAAAATATAGTCGAACTACAAAAAAAGAACCAAATTCTAATTATGCCCGATGTCACATTTTGTGCACTCAACACAAAGTCTAAGTCTCATCACTAACATCATGATGAATCTGACCTACAACAATATACACACAAAATAGATACTGTCAGAAAAAAAATGGCTTTATTTAAAAGGAGGGTGCATTGGATATTTTAAAAAAAATATTTTTAGGATTTTTTATTTTCAAAAAATTTTCTAAAATCTTTCCAAAGAAGTATATTGATTTAGATTACATTGGGTAGAATGTTGAGATTGATTTCTAAATGTAAGAATAGGTTATATGTTGAATCCCATATGTTTTGCAAGATTCAGATATAAGAGATTTAATACACTCAATTAATGTTAACAAGAATTCGAATAATGAGTGTAGGGATGAAGAGAAATGACACAATAATTTATATTAGTTCAACCACTACAACTATCACCAACATCTAGTACCCAATTAACCTGATTGAGATTTTTCACTATCTTTAGATTCAAAGTATTACAATTACACACATAGGAAATAAACTCCAAGAATCCTAAAGATAAACCCATTTCTTGAGCCCCAAGAAATGTCCCTTGTAGTCACCTACTATAAACCTTTAAATCTTGAGACATTTACTCAACAATGATATAGAGATTTTTTGAACGAATTCATCTACATATAGAATCAATCAAAGAGGTGAATCAAATTCAGAGTAGCTTAACCTTTCTCTTTAGTTAGATGATGATGATTCTTAAACCCTTTCTTGAAATTATCCACAAAGGGTCAAAGGATTCTTTCATAGAGAAAATAGAGAATTTCCTATAGTTTTTTTTGCACGATATTTCACAAACTTACAATTATTTCAAATATATTTCTGAGTTCAAAAACTAACATTTATAGAACTCTTCGACTGAAATAATCAATTATTTTCATAAATAATCGATTATTTTGTTCTTGATAAATATGGAAACTAGCCAAGAAAATTATAATCAATTATTTACGAGAATAATCAATTATTATAGAGAACTAACTCTAAAATAATCAATTATTACATAATGATAATTGATTATTATAGTGAGCTTCTTAGAATGAGAAGACACAATGTAAATAATCAATTATTACAATTTGATAATTGATTATTTTGAGTGAGACTCAAATTCTCAATTTTTCAAAGTTTAAAACTAATTTAAAAATCTTTTCATCATCTAACAATAAATATATGACTAAGTTACTCATAATGCACAAAGAAAACATGCCAAACAAAGAACACACATCAATACATTTTCACTCTCTTAAACATGAGAGACACTCTTTATAATCATCAAAACATAAAACATAAACTGAGTCTTCATCTTTAGCTTGGTCAATAGATACAAGAACAGGGAGTGAGGAACATCTCACTCTGACTTACAATGTGGAACATAGCTAGATAGTCATACACACAATATCAAGATATATGACAACAACAAATTATATTAATAACATGATGTAACAATAACAACACATAGCACTAACAAGGTATATCATAACACAATCAATCGCTGAGTCACAATATGATTCATCAAACAATTACACATTCACATCCATGATGCAATGGACATGAACTTTAAAATGTACATGTATGTGGTGCCAATAAAAACACATTATTTTGTCGCTTGTCCAAAGGCACACAAAGTGGAGCCTAGGAGAACATTCCATGTCAAACTCTCATCGCACTATATGTTATGAGGAGATATACCAATGGCACGTCGGGACAACTATGTCACAAAAGTTCCACCTTATGCATACAAACAAG